GTTTCCCAGGTTCATTCTCTTCATCCCCGATAGTTCCATATCTTGCTGGGGTTAATATCCCACTCCTCTCCAATTCCTCAACCGCCTCTTCAATAATCTCTTCCTCCCCAACAATATTCAACCCCAAACTCCCCACCATCCCAACTACCCCCAGAAATACACTCAAAAACAAAAAGAACTTGACAACGTCAATTTCCCCCCCTCTTTTTTCCTTGGAGAAAAATCTATCTCCAACCTGACTCAACCACATCCCACTCAACCCAAACGCAGCAATCGGAACCGCAAGCGCCAATCCCCTATTCTTTCCCCTACCAAAGTTCTTGGCGCAAGTAGCTACCGCGCCTAAATACATGGCACAAGTCCCACAACCGATGAATACGAACGAAGCAACCATTATTAAATAGGAGGATTTTGCAGAGAAGACGTAGGCGGCGCCTGCGTAGCCGAGAGAGAATAGGATGGCGGCTAGTCGGGAGAGGGGAGCGGGTCCGACGCGGTCGCAGTAGTATCCTAGGAGGGGGACGGGGATGTACATTGCGATGGAAGCGGCGGAGGCTAGACCGTTGATTAGGTATTGGGAATATTGGAGATGGGTTTGGAGGGTTGGGGCGTAGAGGGAGAAGATTGTTATGGAGCCGGCGGAGAGGGAGAGGAGGAGGGCGGAGAGGAAGGAGAGGAGGAGGGGTCGGTTGCAGGGGGGAGAGGGGGTTGAGGAGAGGGAAGAGATGGTGGAAGTTGAGGGGGATCGGAGGAGGAGAGGGCTGGAGGAGTCGGAGTCGGGCGTTGTTGTGGATGCCATTTTGGTGGTTGGTGTCGGAGATGGGCTTGTTAAGCCGTTGAGGGGTGAGTTAATGAGGGAGAGCAGTGTCGCATTTTTATTTGTGACTATGTTTGTTTTCTTGGTTAAGTACGGATTATGTATGAGTGAGTCAATATTTAAAGGAGAAAGAAAAGAAATGTCCGGAATCCGAGAAGATCGACAGGTTTAATTGATGCAGGTGGTGTTGCAGAGCGTTTTTTGATGGATGGATGGCAGAAGCAAGGCGGACGACGCGCGCAACGGTCAAATGACCTCTACAGGGTGTCAGTGCGTCACCGTTGCGCCAGCCGCCAGGCCGGGATTTGCTGGTTGTGTTCGGCAAAGGCGGTCAGCAGAGGCTCGTTTGTGTAAATTTACGCTGACAATACCTTACCGGTAGGTTGTTTGAGGGTTAGTTACCTGTGGCTTTGGGTAGCGCAGTTATCTCTTTTTCTCTTTAACTTTTTTTTTTTTTTGGCTTTTAATATAGATGGTGATTATTTTCATTGATTGTTGCGAGAAACGCTTCTAACTGTGAAACACAATGTTTTTTTCCTTCTTTTCATTGGGTTTGAAATGGTGATTGCGAATTCCGAAACGGCAGATAAATTACGCAGAACAATACCATCTCTTCAATATTTGTTCCCTTGCCTTTATAAATCACAAAGGTCTGTTTAGTTTCAACAATACCTTTTTCTGTTTGAGAAAACGTCGATCCATTTTGATGAACCGGTTTTTATTTTTACACCACATCTTGAAAACAAAAACGTCTTCTAAATTCTGAAAAGGTACGCTTTATATGTATTGTGTTCAAGGCACGGTATTGTAATTAAATACCGTATTCCGGAAAGGAGAATATCAAGAGTAATTCTGAAGTCTTGACAGTTTTGTTATGTCAATTTTGTGATCTATATCTAAAAAGGCATGTTTACGACCAGGTGTACGCATCGCGATAACAAACAATTAAGCGAGGAAAACCAAAATGTATATTGAACCATGCCTCTGTTTTCTTTCCAAAAGAAATAAAACCGATTTTCTCATTATGCGGCTCCTCGTATCAGCGCGTCTTCCTCAGCTCTTTTGACTAGTCGTATCTGGACCGAAATCATATCGCTGGCCATGCGGGAGTTCGTCTTCCCGGCATCTGGTTCCCCCCCCCCCCCCCCTCTCTCTTTTCTCTTTCTTTTTTTTTAGATGGCTGAGAGCCTTCAGAGTTCTTCCGTAATTAAGTTCAACTTCAGTTTCAAAATCGATACGGAGCGGAGTCGGGAGTCGAAGTCAACAGCGGGGGCGGAGCCGATGAGTAGTGGGCCAGTCGGGAGCGGACTTTCCATTTTGGGAAAGACTTTGATCTCCCACAGAATTCTACCTGCAACTTCCTCCTCATTCGTATCAAATTGATTCATTGAGAAAAGGTCGGGTCATCCAATTCCGAAATAGAAAACTTCCATCATGTGCCAACTTTAAATTTTGATGAATGGATCAAAACAACAACCAAAAATATTGTAATCCGGGCCGCGCCGCCAAAACCTCGGAATGCCAATATCACACAGTCACACCGACAAAGGCGGAGATTCCATTTACATCACCGTATCCGTGTCCACGATTAGGAATACGGCCCGGACATGGCTGAACTTCGGCTGTGGTGCTTTTTGCCAAGATTGACGGACGACGTTTTTTCTTCGATCGGATGCGTTCCGCTCTTGCCCGCCAGAGGAAAACGAGGAGGCAAAAAGGCGGTTAGCCGCAGGTTTATGATGCAGACTAATGAATATTATTCCCGGCCTTTTCTCTTTTCTGTTGTCAAAATGATACCATTCCATCAAAATAGATACGGTGTGATTGATAGAGTATCAATCGAAACAACATAAAAGCCATCATTCCCCCTCCCCCTTTCCTTTCCTTTCCCCTCAACCATATCCAGCCCCCCCACCGCCCACAATGACAGAATTAGCCATCACCCTAAATAAACCCCCATCCTCCAATAAACTCTCCTTAAAAGACATCCCTCCCAAACATGAACTAACAAATGAATCCGACACCGATATCGAATCCCAACACCCTTCCCCTCAAGAAAAAGAAAAATGGAACTCTTCCCCCCTAAACATCCTACGCTATTTCTCCACCCTCTACGTATTCATCCTAATGGGAATGACCGACGGCGCAATGGGAGCTCTCCTCCCCGAAATCGAAACCTACTACTCAATCTCCTACACCGTAGTATCACTCGTCTTCCTCTCTCCCTTCATAGGCTACCTCCTAGCCGCCTTACTCAACAACCTCATTCATCATCATTTCGGCCAGAGAGGAATCGCCGTTCTAGGTCCATTATGCAGATTAATAGGGATGTTACCCTTGGTTTTCCATCCACCGTATCCTGCTTTACCCGTTGTCTTGTTATTCACGGGATTTGGCAATGGGATTGAAGATTCGGCTTGGAATGCTTGGGTAGGAAACATGGAGAACGCAAATGAACTATTGGGGTTTTTGCATGGGGCGTATGGATTGGGTGCTACGATTGGTCCGTTGATTGCTACAGCCATGGTGGTTAAGGCGGGGTTGGATTGGTGGTTTTTTTATTATGTCATGTTGGGATTGGATGGGATTGCGTTGGGGTTGTTGACGGGGGCTTTTTGGGGAGCGAATGAGAGGGTTTATAGAGAAAAGTTTTTGAGTCAGACAGAAGGACAAAGGACTACGACGAGGAGGGTTTTGAGAGAACCGGTTACTTGGTTGATTGCGTTGTTTTTGTTGGGGTATGTGGGCGCGGAGGTTAGTTTGGGGGGGTGGATTGTGATGTTTATGAGGAAGGTTAGAGGGGCGGAACCGTTTATGGCGGGATTGTGTGTTACTTTCTTTTGGCTGGGGTTGACGGTTGGTAGGGTTGTGCTGGGGTTTGTTACGGGGAGGATTGGGGAAAAGTTGGCGATTACGGGATATTTGGGATTGTCGATTGGGTTTCAGGTTTTGTATTGGGTCGTGCCGAATTTTGCGGCGAGTGCGACTTTTGCGACTTTTTTGGGATTCTTTTTGGGTCCGTTGTTCCCGGCTGCTATTGTGGCTGCTACGAAGTTGTTGCCGAGCGATTATCATGTATCGGCTATTGGGTTTGCTGCTGCTTTTGGGGGAGGAGGAGCGGCGATTTTTCCTTTTGCTGTGGGAGCGATTGCTCAGAGTAAAGGGGTTGAGGTCTTGCAGCCGGTTTGTTTGGCAATTTTGGTTTTTATTTTGGGGATGTGGGTTATGTTGCCTGGGGGGATGAGACAGGGTGGGTTGGAGAGGGCTAGGGAGAATAAGGAAGGGGTTGGAAATGAGGTTAGGGTTGCTCTCGGGTGGGTGAAGAAGAAGTTGAGGGATTAGGAGGGGGTTTTGTGATGGATGTGATACCCGTCTTTTTTGAAAATTGGATTTTTTTCTGCGTCTGGTAGCTTGATTTACTGTAATGGTATCTGGGTTGACGAATCTTGAGATGTATGTTCTTGAGAAGTAGTGCAGGTTATCAGACTGCTCACCTTTTCCAGGTTTATATTGGCCCAACAAACTTTGACAGCGGGGGGCGTCGTCGTTTCTTTTCATTTTTTCCGGCGGTCTCTATTCCCCGCTGCAACAGCTTGCAATCCTCTCTCTCGTGTGATGTATCATGCCAGGACTACTAACCACTGCCTCTCATCCAAACTGCCCTCGTCCCCGACCCGAGACCTCGAGCAAAGTTATCCACTCTGACTAGAAAACTTTCGGGTCTGGCCAGCTCAACTCGCGTCAGGCACGAATGCACATATTTTATATGTAACCGAGCCCGGCGCGGACCGTTCGAGTCGGACAGGAGAGCTCTCGCGCCGCTGGAAGGGTTCTATGCACTGTGATATGGGGTTCGTGCTCTTCATAGTGAAATGGGAGTAGTGTCTCTGGATCATCATGGTTTTAGCGCCTCGCTAATACCATGTCTGTTCGCTGTTGGGAATTTCCTGATAATTTTCTGCCGTCAGAAAATGTTTTTAACAATTCTTGTGATCGGAGAGACCGTCGGAACGGCTCGGTTGATGTGGTGTTGTGTTTGGTGGGCTGCAAATGGGTGGCGGGGTTAAATATCTGGAAAAGGATGCGAAAAGCGATGTCAAAAAGAAAGGAGAATAAAGAAGTGAAAAAGAAAAAAAAGTGGAAAAAGAAAAAGTGGAAAAAGTTGAAGGGAGAAAAAAAATGTTGTCCCCGGTCGGATTCGAACCGACATCTTTCGCTGCCTCAAATCAAATACGCTGTAGAAAATCAAACCGCTTGAATATAGACACACAAACGCTGGCCACTTCGCTACGAGGACGGAAGAGAAACAAGTTTTTCGAAACTAGATAGGCCTTAGGGCGTTCTCTGTGCCGTCGAAAGGAGGGTGCAGGAATTGTGGTTGTGGTGGGTTTTGATGACGTTGGTGGATGGGTTGGGACTTTGGTTGATAAGCTTGTCGTGGTGCTTATCGTTGGTTTCCATCATCTTCCTCCTGTTAATTTTGGGGTAATCTATGAAGTGATGATCTTTCTGGTTATTTATGATCACCGAGCTCTGTCTTCCAGCTGCTGATGATATAATACCAACTGCCCTTGAACGTTTGTTAGCACGACGGGATATTTATGCCTCTCTGATTATAAATAGTTATACCTTTTTGACTTTTTAAAAAGGCCTTTTTCGTTCAAAGGAATGGTTATTTATCTGTAAAAAAAAGTTCTTTCTATTATAACAGCCAAATGGGAAAAGGAACCACGGAAGGGCCTTAAAAGCATTCTCATCAAAACGTGACTCAGGATCAAGATCTATTTTTAAAAATTTAAAAATGTCTTTTATTTATCAATCATGCCTATTCTAAAACAATTAACTTAGGTGTTTTTCATTTCAAAAAGGCATGTTCTATTACAAAAAGACGTTTTATATTTTTTAAAAAGGCGTTTTCCATTTTTAAAAAGGCATCTTTATAATCAAGCACACCAACAAACGTTCAAGGGTATTGTAGATGGAAACAAGTTAGCTTCTATTTGTTGGGATAAACTCTAAATCGCTAGGTGTATGAAAACAACACTATCTACAAGGTTTATGCGATACCTTGGGGGAGCAAAAAAAAGGCTCATTTTGCCAAAAACGTCAACACCGCAAGAGCCATTGCATACGTTCCTGTCTTGAGAGTAGCATCAATATCCGGTGCAAAGAGCGGCGAGTGAAGTCCTGCCGGGCGGGTTTGGGCTATTCTCTGACTTTGGGGTGCCGCCAAGAAACTAGTATGCATACGGCACATTGTGAGCAGCACCAAGCGTTGAGAAATCATCATCGCAGCCACGGGCAAGTGATTGGGTATAATTTGCCTTGAATGCATTTTTACCGAAGTAGTCACGGAAGACTTTTCTCACAGGGAGGGCGATAGCGTCGTCGTTGCTCATGAGTGGCGCACGAGCTGTGTGGAGGACGTTAGGGTTTCGAGGAACCATAGCATTTTGACAATCCGTGCGAAATTTATCCTTGACAAGCTGGAGCACACTAGAACGAATATCATCCTTCACGGTATGGATGACGAGAAGAATATCGGCATAGGGGATGTTCTCATTGTCTGGTTTGCCGATGTCGAAGCGGCGACATTTCACAGTCGCGAATTCTTTGGTCCCAATCTTGCTGGTTATGGCTTCTTGGAGCTCCGAGACGATGCGCATCGAAAGTGGTATAGGATCTATATAGAGATTTGAGTGCTTCACGTTGCCCCTGTAACCGCCATAGACTCGGATGTCGAAAACATCGGCAATTGGCTGGACGAGACCAGAACGTATTTCTAGGGTGCCGGCGGGTGCGGGGCTAAGGTGCTGAGCGAGCATCAAGTCGGGCACCAAGTCGGGCACGCGAGAACCGCAAATTTGATATAAGCCGCCATTTACCATGGCTTCAGCGCCTCTCCCCTCTTTTGCATCTGGCTGAAAGACCATCATGAGAGTTCCTGTCCAGTGTTCGGCAGCGCGGTCCAACAAGTCGGCAGCAGCTAGGAGTACCGCCATATGCATGTCATGACCGCAGGAGTGCATGACTGGATGCTCGTTGCCGTGGCGGTCCTTCATCCGACGCCTGCTGCGATACTCCAAATTGGTTTGTTCAAGCATGGGCAGGGCGTCGAGCTCGGCACGTATGAGAACAGTCTTGCCAGAACCGTTTCTCAATACGCCGACAACACCGTGGCCGCCGATCATTGAGTAGACTTTGTAGCCTAGCCGCTCCAGTTGAGATGCTACTTGTTTGGCTGTATTTGCCTCCATGCCTGAGATGTCGGGGTCTGTATGCAAATCGCGGTAGAATTGGGCCCACTGGGGGAGATTTGGTTGGTATCTGTCAAGGATCGAACGCAAGTGTTGAGGATCGGGCACATTTGGAGTTAGCGACATCTCGTCGGCGGGAGAGAGGCTGTGGCAGCATTCAAGAATCAGTGGCAGTCCTGTTCCGCTGGGATGAAGTCTACTTACACTGAGAAAGTGATGTTGAAATGGTTAAAAAACAATATCGAAAGTTGTGTCTGGTTTCAGATGATGCTGCTCGAAAAACTTTGAATAACTTTTGTGATTGTTCTGTTGGATGTGGTCAACGTTGTGAGAGGGTGAGCAGTCGAAAACTCCCCTGAATGCTGCAAATTTCTCGTCTCGTCCCAAAAATATTAAGTCAGGCAAGTAATACTGTGTCCTCAGCCTGTGTTACCGTTCTCGGGCGTGATTCAACCTTCAGAAACAAACTGATCTTTCCTTCGCTCAGAAAAAGAAAACGGCAATCATCTCCCTCATCCTCCGCAAACATCGATAATGGCAGCCAAGAAGAACATTCTGATAGTTGGCAAGTGTTTCCAGGTTGTTTTGACATCACCAATGACCGGGGCTAACATTTCTCATTGTGTGCACAGGTGCAAACCGTGGAATTGGTTTCAACCTCGTCAAGGCTTTCCTTAAAGAGTCCTGGGACGTAACCAGCACAGTGCGCCCTCAAACTCTAGCTGCCCTCGACCGGTCAGTCGACGATGTAAGAAGACACGAATCTTTCCCACATCAACAATTTCACCACATTGCGCTAACTTTCTTCAAGCTGTACAAGACAAGTGCCAGAGTCCTTCAGCTCGACTACCTCGATGAAAACACGATTGAAGAAGCCGCCGCTGCTTGGGGTGATAAACCTCTCCACCTGCTCATCAAGGTTGCCGGTCTTCCGCCGCATCCAAAACCGTGGAATGAACAGACTGCCGACTTGCTAGTCGAGAGGTTCCGTGTCATGACAGTTGGACCACTTCTTACTATCAATTACTTCTTGCCCATGCTAGAAAAGACGGCCGAGTCCAAAGTCGTGAATTTATCGTCTGGTTTTGGGTTTATTTCTGGGTTGTTTTCCCATGATACCATCCATATATTTGATGTGTTTTGTTGACGGAATAGAAAACTTTGGCAAATTCATGGCCTATCGTGTTGCCAAAGCCGCTCTCAACCAAGGCATGGTGACCATGGCGCGAGAATGGGAGAACGAGGGACGCAATGTCACGATGATTTGTGTTGAGCCGGGGTTTGTGGCTACTCGTCTGACAAAGTGGACTGGAGATGATGATATGTATACTTGTGTTGCGGTAATGGTCAAGTTGTTTCAAGGCTTGACTCGGGAGGATCATGGGGGATTCTTCAAGTGGGATGGGACCAGATTTCCCTTTTGAAACAGGTCTTGACGTTATAGTGGAGGCAATTTAAATGAGACTCGGACAGCGGTGAGAGTTTGAGGCAAGCACGCTCTCCTTTCTCCCGTTGGAAAAGGACTGCTCTTCATTCTTTCTCTCCTGTTGGCGAGCTGGCTTGGCTTGTCTTTGACTTTTTTTGCTCTCCAAGTTCTTTTGCTGATTTTGCGCATTTGGCTAACTGGGTTCCTTTGCGTTTTGCTTTGTGGTTTGTGCCCTTTGTATTTCTTGTTGTTCTGGCTTCTTCAACCTCGCCCTCTTTTTAGTTGTCTCTTCGACAGATTTGGCCAATACCTCACTCCTTTTTGTTATCACCGCGCAACAGAGTTTCTCCTGCTATGAAAGATTGAAAGCCCCCGACTTGAGCGAGAGCAAGAACGCCAAAATTTTCAAGTTATGCAGCCCCCAAGTCCTTCATGTCCAGTTTCCAAGCCAAGCAGGGTCTGAAACTCCCCTGATGTCTGATTGATTCTCTGGAGCCAAATAGTTTGACGATTTCCGCACAAGTTCCCACAGCGTTACACAACATCACAGAAACGTATGCACGGTTCTCATAAAGCGGCCGTTGGGTCTTGGATTCGGTTACTGCGCCTGAGTTTAGAAATTACCTCCTAGTCGGAATAAACCAATCATCGTTTACCTATACCCACAAATGATTCCAATTAGCCCCCACACCTGGGTGGCTTGTCTGTTGACAAACGGCTCCTGCGGCACCACGATATGTGGTGCTGAATTGGTGGCTATCTGTTTCCAAAAGAGAGACAACGCATGGATTGCTGCCATTCTCATATAACTTAAGTTGTTCTCCTTCCAATGCATTGATATCTGTCTTAGATTATCATCTCTTCCTTGTCCAACAGCAAAGGTTGACTTCTTCACTCTTCTCAACATGCCGAAGTCGCAACGTTATGTTCAAGTCACAGAATCCAAGCCAAAACAGTAAGTTCGCCCTACTACTGAAGAAGTACCCCTCTGAAGGTTGCTGACTTTGAGAAGTGTCAAAACCAAAGAGCCCCTATCATGGTGGTGGTGGTGGGAAATCGGCTCCCTCACGCTCTCAATGGCCTGCATGGCCCTCATCATTGCCATCCTGATAAAATCCGACGGTCTGGTCCGTGACGAATGGCCACTATCCATCGAACCAAACTCTCTCATTGCCGTCTTTACGACAATCGGAAGATCCTGCATGATGGTTGCCGTTGCAGCTTGTCTCAGCCAGCTCAAGTGGAGGTATTTCGATCACGCCGCTGGTTTTCCCCTTTCAGACATGCAGACTTTTGAAGAAGCGAGTCGTGGTCCTTGGGGGGCCTTTATGTTCCTGGGGAAAATCAGACACGGGGCCATTATTGCGTTTTTGCTTTCGTTTGCGACGGTTCTTGCTCTGGGGTTTGATCCGAGTGCACAGCAGGTTCTTGGCGTCAGTACGAGGAATGATACGCGACCAAGTGATGAGGCAAGAATTGGACAGGCCAAGGTATATGTTTCAAAAGCACTGAGTAATCATTCGAGTTTTCCCGGTACGTGAAAACCTTTTTCCCCTCAAACATTAGTTGCGGCTGGTCTGATATTCTTGAGGCAGTTACGACTTCGACTATATG